CCACCAGGGAGGCCCCTACAGCTTACTTTCTAATACATGATTTTTCTACATTTTTTGCTATCTCCTATGGTAATCTTTAAACATGATGTGAAATAACTTTGTGTGTGTTCATTCTTTTGAACATAGATCAAACTGTTTCTCTTACTGCCTTGCTCGCTTTCTGTCAGTTGTTTTTACATCTTTTTAAAATATTTGGATATTGACAATTCATTTTGAAATTAAAAAGACATTTCCTCCCAGAGAGTCTCTGCCTATTGATATTTAGAAAACTATTTAAATGAGGTTGGGAAGCTAGAAAGATGTCTGTGAGTTTGTAAATTAGCAAACTACCAGACCCACCACACCTTGCATCTTCAATGAGAGATTATGGTGTTATGCCCTCCAGCAGAATTGATGGGGGGTGAGGCCCTTTAGAGTTGTCTAGGGGGTTGTTAGCCTTGGATTCCAAGAAGTGCACGTGCATCAATACACCCTCCATTCTGCCCTCTTCTGTCTTTTGTTTCCGAATCCACGCTATTTGCTGTTGGAATAACTGCCTTGAGGTCAAGGCATTCCTGCCTCTAGTAGCACTACCCAGCAACACTCAGGAAACATTGGTTGACTCTGAATAAATTTAGTAGCTACACTGAATTTTCTCAATTCAGGTCTTATACAGAAAATAATTTCGGTTATCATGAATTATGTGCACAATGAGAAATACAGAAATTCAGGTATACAGTCTTTCAAAAATATCTTCCACTAGTGATTTTAATGTCTCAGTCTTCTGGTGTGCCCAAAATTCTCCATCTTTGACCGAAACACTACTTGAGCAATGGTGCATTTGGAGGAGGAATGTTGGGAGAGTAGGGAGGAGATTGGTGGGAGGTTATGCTTCCCTAAGGGAAATCTCCTTTCAGATATGAAGGTAGAAACAGGATGGGAATTTCAGGCTCTCTACTGAAGGAGTCTGAATGCAGAGAATTTGATCGTGTCATTTCTTGGTTTGCATCTTCTAACTTGCTGTATGCTGCAGAGTGAGCCAGCCGGGCCAGTCACTTAACCACGCAGAGCCAGAGCTCACCTCTCCAGGTTCGAACCCTCCCTCCCTCTTTTCCTCTACCTGGGACACTGCTTTCCTCACTCCTCCCTGGTGTTCCAATGTGTGGTTTGTTTGTTGTTGTTGTTTTAAAGATTTATTGTATTTATCTATACATATAAGAACTGGGGTATGTGGCGGGGGGACGATTCACCAGAGACAGAGTGGGGAGCAGAACAGGCAGACTGACTGAAATACACTGCTGAGGGGAGCAGCGGGCGAGACAGGAGAAGTCTGCTTTGCCATGTGGGTGTCTCCCTGGCCTGGGATTGAACTCATGCCAAAGTGCCTGGCAATAGCTTATTAGCATTGAGACTTTAATCCTTGTGCCACCAGGAGGCCAATGTTAGGTAATGTTTGGTTGATACATGGAAAGAATTTCAAATTCACAGAGAATTAAACCAATTTAAATTTAAATTTTTATAGTGAAATGTCACTTCAAGTTTATCATATTGGAGAAGATTATAATTGTTGATTATACTCACAATTATGAAAGAAATATGTACTTTTATATCCTTACAAATTTTACAGTATATGTTTAAACTTAAGATGCCTTTACCTATGGACCATGCAATTCAATTCCACATCTGAGACTCTTTCCTCTTCCTGTATACTTGCCTACATGCAGAAAGTAACATGTAAAAGCAGGTTCACTGTAACATTTTTTGAAACAATGAAAAGATAAAAATTACTCACCCCACCAGTAGAAAATGGCTAAATAGATTATGGCACAGTATACAGTGTAAAATGATCATGAACTTTTGATAGTCTAGAACTTGTCCAAGATATATTGTTAAATGAAAAAGAAATTTGCAAAACAGAATAAATATAGTTGCTAACATGTGAAAATACTAATTAGTTTATGTGTTAATCTGCACACTGTAAAAAATCTGAAAAAACCTATACTTAAGTATGCACAATGATTACCTCAGGAATGTGGAGCTATGGGAGGCATTCACATTCTTCTGTACATTTATGATCTTTGAAATGTTTAAAAGAAATAATATTTGAAAATGAAAAAAAGCAAAAATTTA